TCTAATTGCACGTAGGGCGAGAATAAATGCAAAGCTCGTAATTGCTAACTTGCGGTTGGCGCGTTAGTTTCCCTCTAGAAAAGCGATTCGAATTTATTTAATTATTTTATTTAATAACCTAAGTTATTCTCGTACATATGGCGTCCCATAGATGGCGCGACGAGGCCTCTCGAGGGATTTTCCACAGAAATTTCCACACCAGCCATCTTAGACCATGGCAGGCCTGACTGATGATGGTGTTAGACTGAGAATTGCTCGAGTTGGATAGTAAGATCCCAAGCGATATGCAATATGACACACAAATATATATATCACATGTTTTAGGAAGAAGCGCCGGAGCCGAGGTTTGTAATACTACCGGAAGATAGAATAAGGACCAGTGAACAAAAGAAGCTCATGTTTGTATACATTTGTATTTTTATTCACATCGAACTCGTAAGACAATGAAAGTGTCAATGACACTGTAGCTCACCTTGGGTGTGATAGAAGAGGTAGGCGGATATATAAAGCAAGAGTATATATGGGAGAACTCCCATTATATACTCTTGATAATGATATATCCATAAGTTTTGATGCAAAAAATAAATGTTTCAGATCTGAGTCTGAAATCTTGACAATTGAGATGGCGCTACGCCTAAATGATCGCTATTTTGGTTTACGAATATCGCGCAAATAAAAACAATAAAATATTCCAGTCAAATTATTGTAACGAAGAATCTAATACACAATATTACTGTAGTAACGCTGAGGTCAGTAACCGCAGTTAGCATCAGTCCACACAAGCTAATTTTACACCATACCGACGGGCTAGAAGCACCGATCTATCTTGGACCACTGGACACATACACTGCTACAAATAGCCACCCGGTGTGCGGTTAGTTACATGCAGATTTAGTTCACGAGCCATCCACCCCACACCTTACCCGGCTAAGGCTATCGATATCACCTCTAATCTTAACTTCCCGAAGAGCGCAACACATCTCCAACCCTGACTCGCCAGTGGTCAATTCATACTGGTATTCCATTTCAACCGTTTGTAGGTCCTAATAAGGGGACCTATGCCTTCCTTGTAGCCGGCAGTGAGTGGTAGGAGGCATATTTGGTAAGGAATTCGCGACTCATCTTGCAAGATCGGGGTATAAAAGAGCCCGCACGAGAGACACGGGGTTCTTATGTTCACAGTCCTCGGTTGCTAGATTCTATGTGTAATGTGTAGTGTGTGTGTTTTGTGAGTATAAAATATACAGTGAAACGGCAGTTGTACACGATTACCAAGTCTACCTTCTACGTATTTTGTTTCTAAGTTAGTCACACATTTCACGGCGCATATAACACGCAAGCTACCGCGCACAGTTGTCTGGCAGCAGAATTACCCAGCGACTGCATTACACGTATGTAAGTATGATTGTAGTTGTTGACCAGTTAGACGAAATAAACGTAATAGGACGTTGTCATCTCTCCCATAGGAGTAACAACTGTTTTGGGGCTAGCCTTACACATTCATATACCAAATTGAATGAA